CGTCGTCGTCGTCTTCGTTGGCGACGTCGTCGTCGTCGTCGACGTCTTCGTCGTCGTCGTCGTCGGCGTCGTCGCCGGCGTCGTCGTCGTCGTCATCGGCATCGGCGTCGTCGTCGTCGGCGTCGGTGTCGTCGTCGTTGTCGTCGTCGCCGAAGTCATTGGAGACGTCGTCGGTGTCGTCGTAGTCGTTGTCGGCGGCGTCGTCGTCGTTGTCGCTGCCGTCATCGGCGTCGGTGGCGCTGCCAAGTGCCATTTGGTACCTACCGTCACGGTCGTAAGAGGTCGTGCGACTAAGTTGCGGGTGGGAGGGTGGGATGTTTGCACAAGCAGTGGAGAGGACCGCTTCAAGTTGAGCAAGTGATTGATTCTCCTGTCCAAAAACAGAATAGACTCAACCCCCCCCCGGCGTTATCACGTCACCTTTCGGGTATGTAAATCATATATGCTTATGACCACATGTCCGTCCTAAATATGAAATCGCAATGTCCCAGGCCAACCGGTATCCCCCCCTGAGGTTCCCTTGTAAAAAACACTATGCGGTGACATGTTTTCCCGTTCTAACATAACACTTGTTCGCGAATCCCTCGCAAACAAAAAAAGACGAAGTGCGCACGCGCGCGTCGTCGCGCGCGCATGCCGAACTCCTTCAAAAACCTTCGGTGCCGGAAAGATTTCGCAATCGAGCTTCAAAAAAAACATACAAAAACACAGGGTTTCGCAACACTCATTTGCTAAAAAAGCTTCCGCGCGAGCTCTTGCGAAATCTTGAAAAAAAAAACATGGTTTTTCAAGATTTTCACAAAATGCTATTAAACGGGCTTCGCGCGCGCATGTCGAAATCTGTGAGAGAGCGTGATCCACCGCCGCTTTACTGTAGAAAATTGCAACCCTTTTCCTCCGGAACCCGGGTGTCCCCCCCCCCTCCCGAAAATCCCCCCCCCCTGCTGGAATACCTCCCCCCCCCCCTTCCCCCGGCAACCCCCCCCCCTCCCCTAACCCCCCCCCCCCCCCTCGAACTCGAAAACCGGGGGGGGTCACTACCAGTTGTAACCCCTCCCCCCCCCCCTCCGGATCCGGAAAACCGGGAGGGGGCCACTACCGGTTCGAAACCCTCCCCCCCCCCCCTCGAAAACCGGAGGGGGGGTCACTACCGGTTCGAACCCCCCCCCCAAACGCACCGCCAGCAAACAACTCCCGGTCCCTACCACCGTCCGCATCACATCCCCCACTTTTGTTGTTCCCAGCACCACTGTCCTCACCACCACTGTCCCCACTGGTTCCACCACCGTCCCTACTGTCCCGACCAGTGCCTCCACCAATGTCGCACTGTCCCCGCTGTCCCCACCACTGTTCCCACCACGGTTCCACTCTCCCCACTGTCTCCACGACTATCCCCACTGTCCCCACTGTCCCACTGACCCCTCCTCTGTCCCACTGAGCTGTCCCACTGTTCCCACCACTGTCCCCACTATCCCCACCACTGTCCCCGCTGTACCTCTGTCCCATTTTCCCACCGCCGTCCTCGCCACCGCCTTCACCACTGTCCCCACCACCACTGTACCCTCCACTGTCCCAATGTTTCCACCACATTCCCACTGTCCCCACACCACTGTCCCCACCACCACCGTCCCCACCACTTTCCCACTGTCCCCACTGTTCCCACCATTGTCCTCACCATTGTCCCCACCACTACCGTCCCCACCACTGTCCCACTGTCCCCACCACTGTCCCGTTGTCCCCTCACCACTGTCCCCACCACCACCGTCCCCACCACTGTCCGCACCCCCCCTCGGTTTTCGAGGGGGGGGGGGGGTTCGAACCGGTAGTGACCCCCCCCGGTTTTCGAGGAGGGGGGGGGGGAGGGGAGGGGTTCGAACCGGTAGTGACCCCCCCCCCTTTTCATGATGAACTGGGGGGGGGGGGGGAGGGGTTCGAACCGGTAGTGACCCCCCCCCCGGTTTTCCAGAGGGGGGGGCCCCAGTTTTCCGCCAGCAGCGGTAGAACACGCTCTTTCAAATCTGCCGAACGCCCTTGCGCGTGTGCCGTCTCGAGAATCCTCTGCAAGAAAACGGAACGAAGTGCAGACGCGCGCGTTGTCGCGCGCGTATGCCGAAATCCTTCAAAACCCATCGGTTTCGGAAGGATTTCAAAATCGTGTGTCCAAACAAACCTACAAAAACCAAAGGTTTCGCAACACGGATTTTCAACAAAAGCGTGCGCGCGCGCTCTTGCGTCGTCGTCGTCGTCGTCGCCGTCCTCCCTCCTCCCGCGTCGTCGTCGTCGCCTACGTCGTCCTGTCTTTCCTCGTGTTCGTCGTCGTCGTCCTCGGTGGCGTCGTGGTAGTTTCCGTCGTCGTTGTCGCCGTGGTCGTCCTTCCTCCTCCTCCCTCGTCGTCGTCGTCGTCCGTCGTCGGCGTCTCGTCGTCGTCCCTCCGATTGCGTCGCCGTCGTCGCCGCCGTCGTCGTCGTCGTCGTCGTCGTCGTCGTCGTCGTCGTCGTCGTCCTTCCTCCCTCGTCGTTGTCGTCGTCGGCGTCGCCGTCCTTCCTCCTTCTTCGTCGTTCGCGTCGTCGTCCTCCCTCCACCCTCGTCGTTGTCGTCGTTGTCATCGTTGTCGCCGTCGTCGTCCTCCCTCCTCCCTCGTCGTCGTCTTCGTTGGCGACGTCGTTGTCGTCGTCGTCGTCGTCGTTGTCTTCGTCGTCGTCGTCGGCGTCGTCGTCGTCAGCGTCGTCGTCGTCGTTGTCGTCGTCGTCGTCGGCGTCGTCGTCGACGTCGGCGTCGTCGTCGTCGTGGTCGCTGTCGTCGTCGAAGTCTTTGGAGACGTCGTCGGTGTCGTCGTCGCTGGTGTCGGCGGCGCCGTCGTCGCCGTTGTCGCTGTCGTCGTCGGCGTCGGTGTCGTGGCCAAGTGCCATCTGGTACCTACCTTCACGGTCTTGTCTTAAGAGGTCGTGCGACCAAGTTGCGGGTGGGAGGGTGAGATGTTTGCACGAGCAGTGGGGAGGACAGCTTCAAGACGGTCAAAGTGAATTGTACCGCATAGATTGCACCACAAAGATTGCACCACATGGATTGCACAACATGTATTGCACCACGTATCTTGCACAACATAGATTGCACCACATGGATTGCACAACAACGCGTTGCACAACATAGGTTGCACCACATAGGGAGCACAACCTATATTGCACCACACAGAGTGCAACACCTACATTGCACCAAAGACGCTTCACAACATAGATGGCACCAAATGTGTTGCACCACTTAGATTGCACCACCTAGCTTGCACAACATAGCTTGTACCGCATAGATTGCACCACATGCATTGCACAACATATATTGCATCACATAGAGAGCACAACTTATATTGCACCACACAGATTGCAGCACGTAGATTGCACAACATGGGCTGCACCGAATAGATTGCACCTCTCAGGCTGCACCACATAGCCTGCACAACATGTACTGGCCCAACAAATGCGTCACCTAGATTGCACAGCATAAATCGCACCACACAGAGGGCACCACCTAGGTTGCAAGGCATATATTGTTAGGAACACGCTGCTTGGGGCCCACGCTGGCTAACAAGTGACTCTCGCGCTTGCGCCGCGCACATTCGCCCTAAACGTTTTCAACCGCTTCGCATCTGGAGGGCGGGTAGGTTTCAACATGCAGCTCTCGCTCTAGCGCCGCGCGCGTTCGTCCTAAAGTTTCGCAACAGCTTCACGGATGGAGGCATGGTGGTTTCCAAGATGTGACGCTCGCCCTAGCGCAGCGCACAATCGCCCGTCTTAAACGTTCAAGGGGGCCAAAGGCACACTAATACATACACACAAATAACAGGATTCCCTATATTTTCTCATATTTTCTGGGTTTCTGTGTTCCCTTCCACTTCCCATATTGTCCCATATGTTCAAGGGAATCGACGATTATTTGTGTCTGTGTTCTTTTGTCCCTCCTGAAACGTTTGCTGGAGCTTCAAGGATGGAGTGCGATTGGTTTTCTATGTGTGGCTCTCGCCTTAGCGCCGCACACCGTCGTCTTAAACGTTGGCAGCAGTTTCAAGGATTCGTATGTTCGAGGTCCCACGGATGGCGCTCTGGCACAAGTAGGGACCGCTCGGACCGAACAATTCTGTTGCTTCGCGGTGTTGAAGTCTCAGGAGCTGCATTATGACAGGGTTTCGGCCAGGGCGCAACAGTCAAGTGGATCCCAAGCGCTGCAGCCCCAGGATCTGGGATTTGGCACGATGAGGGATTCTCAGACGGTTTTCTTCTAGTGGGCCACTTCCCGCAATGAACATAAGTTCCTTCAGGGACCTACGCAGGGATCGCTTGACGGCAGGCTGTATTACAAGATCGATAAAAACGCCTTGGGTTTGCACTGGTCCTCCTCCTCCTCCTCCTCCTCCTCCTCTTCTTCTTCTTCTTATTATGTTTCTTCTTATTATTATTATTCTTATTATTATTATTATTATTAGTATTCTTCTTATTAGCGTTATTCTTCTTATTATTATTAGTCTTATTATTATTCTTCTTCTTATTACTATTATTCTTCTTATTATTCTTATTATTCTTCCTATTCTTCTTCTTATTATTATTCTTCTTATTATTCTTCTTATTATTATCTTTCTTCTTCCTCCTCCTCCTCCTCCACCTCCTCCTCCTCCTCCTCCTCTTTCCTCCTCCTCCTCCTCCTCCTCCTCCTCCTCCCCTCCTCCTCCTCCTCCTCCTCCTCCTCCTCCTCCTCCTCCTCCTCCTCCTCGTCCTCGTCCTCCTCGTCCTCCTCCTCCTCCTCCTCCTCCTCCTCCGCCTCCTCCTCCTCCTCCTCCTCCTCCTCCTCCTCCTCCTCGTCCTCGTCCTCCTCCTCCTCCTCCTCCTCCTCCTCCTCGTCCTCCTCCTCCTCCTCCCCGTCCTCTCCATGACCCCCCATCCAGGGACAGGGCTGGCGGATGGGCGGCGGACACCACAGGAAGACCTCGAGCGCCGAGAGATCCCCGCAGCGGCCTGCGGCGCCCCCGTGGCCGCGAGCGGCGGCAGCGCCGTGGCCCGTGCTGCTCGCGCTCGCACCGCCACTGGACTGCTGAAGACGCAGGGCCAGACCCTTCGGCGCGCCCGTGGCGAAGGCGCGGCGCTGGGGGCGTTGTCTTGACTAGACACGAGGGCCACGCCGACTCCGTGCAGCTCGCGGCATCACCTCCTCCTCCTCCTTGTTCTCCTCCTCCTCCTCCTCCTCGTCCTCCCTACCCCACCCGCTTCAATCATTATCCTCCACTTCCTCCTCCATTCGCGCGCCGGTTTCGCAATCCACCTTATCTCACCGTCTGGCCAGCTGGTATATCTGTCGACCTCGTTGTCTCGAGGTGTTATTGTTGCGATACACATATGCATAAGAAGTTCCCAAAACGAAAGTTCTTGGTTGTTCGAAATGTTCGTGGCGCACGGGGCGCCGGAGAGGTCCCATCCACCCCGAGGAGGCCCCAGAAATGCACACGAGAAGCTACCAAGAGGCATATCGATAACGCTCACACGCATCCAGGGAACCTCTGACCCACAACCCAGGGACGGTGGCGGGACGGGCCTGCAGGTGCATACGCAAGCCGAAGTTTGCATGCATGCATGCATCATCCGTCGTACGTACGTACATACATACGTACATGTATGCATGCATGCATACAAACATACATACATGCACACACTGACAATCAGACAGACAAACCGGAACGCACACGCGCATGCACACATATATGCGCACACGCATACACAACCACACATACCTACACACACGCACGCATACATACGTACATACATACATGCGCGCGTACGTCTATAGAACATACATACGTACGTACATGTCTACATGTACACACACACCTAAATATGCATAAACATCCATACATACATACACGCAGGCATACATACATGCATACATACGTATGTACATACGTACACGCAGAAATACACGCACCACCCTATCTGTAGACTGACATGTACGCATATATACACTAGAACCATCGCGCGCGCTTCGCGCGCGCTTTGGTTCTACCAGAGGTCAAAGACAAATCGAATCAAATTTCGTCGAAACAAACATAACAGAGCTCGTCCTCAGCGCTCGCGCTGCTTAGCGCCCTTGGCGTTCGCGCTGCTCTGTGATCGAATAAAGTCCCACCTCGTCGAACCTCGACCCTCGATTGATCGGTCCTCGACTGGCGCCTGCGACGACGAGCGCGACGACGGCGGAAGCGGCGACGACGACGGCGGCGATGATGATGACGACGACGGCGGCGGCGCTGACGACGGCAAGGGCGACGACGACGACGACGACGACGACGACGACGGCGCCGCCGCCGCCGTCGCCGTCGAGGTCGTCGCCGCCCCTGCGCGGGGGGCGGGCCGCGGGGGGGTTCTTTTTAACGGTTTCAAGGCCCTTCGAGAGCTCCTGGGGGCCGTAGGTGGTGGTGAACCTCTCGTCAGGAGGCTCTCGCGACGCGGGTCGGGGCCCGAGGTAAGTCTGGGCAGGAGAAGGCGGAGGAGGAGGATGAGGAGGAAAAGTCGGAAGGGGGAGGGGGGGGTCCGACGCGGGGGAATTGCGGGAACGTGTTCCGGGAGAGCGTTTCTGGAGCACGCTGGCTGAGTGGCCCTTGGCCGTAAGATCGACCACGGATGTGGGCATCAGAGCGTTGGGGGAGCGCTTGAGGCCGTGATGCGAGGGGAACAAGTTTGCAAAGGGTCTTGCGGTTGTCTGTCTGGGGCCTCTCTTGGAGGTCGGTTTGAAGTCGTGGGAACCGCTTTGGGTCCTTATGGGGCCTCATGTGGGCCATTGGGGGGCTCGCGGGGGCCTGCGAAGGCCTCTTGGGGGCCTCTTGGGCGCTTCTTTTTTCTGACGTTAGTCCAAGCATGCATGGCGGACAGCATTCTGACAGGCGCCAGGGCACGCTCGGTGGCGAGGCAGCGGCAGGCGTCTTCTGCAGTGCGTTTCGGTGCGGAGGCCGGAGCTAGAGCCGCGCAGTAGCGCTGTAGAGGTGATAGCGGGAGACCAGCATAAATTGTACCAATTTGTCTGAAGCAGCAATGCGTTGCGCATTGTCAAGGAAATATCACAAGCTGGTGCGCCCTGGGGCGCGGTGGTGTACAGTGAAGTAGGAAATGCGAATTATCAGGCATAGCCTGACCGCTCAGAGAGCGAAAGAGAGACGAGCACGGCTCGTGACGTCGTTCGCTCGAGCCGGTAAAAGCTGCGAAAACAATGACTGCCGCGTGGCGAGGCGGCAGGAAAAAGACGCAGCAGCGTCGAGCGGGCAACTCCCGCGACGGCTACTGCAGGGCAATCAAGTAGGGCTTGGACCCCACTTTGCCGTAAAGAACGGCGACGCGCGCGCTTCTCCGCCGAGCCCTCGGAGTACCCATGCACTTTCAGGACTGAGCCGTTGCTCATGCCCTTGGCTGTAGTAGTATCCAGTGTACAAGCTGGGGTGGTGGTGTCTGTTGTGGGCGCGCCGGTAAGACGAACCGCGACGGCGGGCGTGACGCCGTTACTTGAGGCGACCATCCTCTGTTTGATGAAGGCCATTGTCGCGACCTTGTGCTGCGCCTGCGCGTCGTCCGAGACAGAAGGAAGCGCCGTCGCCTGGAGAGCCGAGGATGCGCTGAGCGTGCCGGTGATGAGGTAATCGATGAGCTGCGCAGCGTTCGGGATGGTGACGCGATGGACGCTCGTCGCGCTGAATACGGCCGTCTCCTCGACCACCTTCGCGCCTCTCCTCATCGAGTATACGATGGTATACTGCGTCTTCAACGACTCCGGGGTCTCCTTGGTGATATCGCTCACCAAGACATGTGCCGTGAAAGTCTCGCGGCCAGTCTCAAAGTCCGTGCTGATGAGAGTGTTAGTCGCGAGCGTGTTAGGTGCCCCTGAAATAACTTGGGTCGCGGCCACGCAGTCAGTGATCGTTGACTGCGCATCGACAGCACCGACAGGCGCGTCGGCGTTCCACCCCGCGAGCTCAGAGACGACTGAATCATCGGCGACGGCCTTCTCGAGCATGTCTGGGAGCGAAGTCGCCATGTTCCCCTGAGTCGCATCGAGGGAAATCGGTGCAGCATGGGCAGCCAGCGTCTCCTCGACGGATGCGGTACAGTCATCCATGGTATTGGCGATCCTCTCCAGAACCTGGTAATGCATAGGCTGTGGGTCGGTGGCGATTGGACGGTTGACTCGGTTGCGCCTCTCCTCAAGGGCAGCCAAAGTGGGCAGCGCCCTCCGCGCGCGCTTCTCGGCGAGCGAATGAGGCCTTGCTCTTCCTGCGTTGATTGACGACAATGTGGCGTAGATGACGGTCATGACGATGCATAATTCGTCATTGATCACAGAAAACGCGGTGAACGTAGCAATGGCCACTGCCACGGACCTAGAGAACTGGGTCGAAACAGCGATGGAGCCAGTCTGAGAAAGCAGGAAATATTTAAATATGTGGAAGAAGGAAAAGATCTCAATCAAGTTGCTGACCCCATCCACCACACAGATCATGAACATGGCCGGCGACGACGCCATGGCGCAGGCCCCATATGGTCACTCCTGCATCGAACTCGTTGAGGGGCGGCCCGAATGGTAGCTGTTAGCGGCGTGGAGAAATGGTAGAGGCGACGGCGTCGACAGCGCATGACGCCTCGCCCGAACCTAATTCAAGCGCGTATGTGGTGCACAAAAAGCAAATGAATGTCCGAGGTCCCATCATGCAAGCGGCGGCTATCGCATGCATCAGCCGGCATAGAATCAACGGCGGGGGCCCAGAGGTAAGGGCCCGCGCCCTTGCCCATGAGCGCCCCATGCGCTAAGGAATCAATCACTGCCTTAGAGGAGCCAATTACACCGGGGTAAAAAAGAACAACAGGCACGCACTACGATAATAATGCACCATGTGGCAGGCCACGGGCAAAACGTTGTAGTCAAGGCAAGTAGTACCATGGAAAGCCTGCTAGCTAAGTTATTGGTGTCATGGCTGCAAATCAAACAACCTAAATAATAAGGCGTCGCCCAAAACATTGTTGCGAGCCCGAAAAGGTAGAAAGACATCATCACAAAGATCACTACTGAAAGTGTGTGCATGGCGCCCTTAAAGTAAGGCCTCGGCCAAATCACGACGCTGAGGAAGTATCAGGCTTGGGGCACATGAAGTGAACATCGAAATCGCGATTGCTGACCACGCGGGGATGGCAACTTTCCCTTCTGTCGCGGGCATTTCACCAGTCGTAGCACTCCCGAAGGAGGTGCGGACGCGCCTGTTAATATCTGATTCTGCGAGAGAACAATCGTCGGCCAGCTCATCAATGGGTATGGTGCAGGTGCCGGTGGACCCAGAATCGTCCACGCAAACAGCGTTGCGACCCTCGGCCGGCGCTGCGCACTTGGACTTGATACCAACCGGGAGTCCTGACGCAGTAGCCCTGGCCCGAACATTTTATGTCCGTAAACTGCATCAGGTTTCCGAGCAGGTGCAGGTGAGGGCCTGGGATGAACAAAGAAGGTCGGGCCATCGCTAGCTTCGAATCGTCGCTAATGCAACCCACCTCTTTATTGCCACAAGGGTCGCCGAAGGCGAGAGCAATCTGATTATTCATCCTCTTCGACTTCTTCGCCTCAAACTCAATTTTAGTTCCCGTCATGAAAATCATTTTTTCGTCAGCGCCCATCCTCGTCGTTTCAATGCAAGTGTCGTCAGAAAGACCGAAATCCACTATGCCGTGAGCGCGAGAGACTCCTCAAGATGCTGCGGGCTGACAAGAAATCGCAGAAGCGTGCATAGTCACAGGTGCATGTGTGAGTTGACGAGCATAGGCGTTGGCGTCCTCATTCATGGCGATAAGCCACATGAAATGGGGAGCTTCAAAACAAAGCCGATATACTCAGGTTTTGACTCCTTCTTGCAATGGTCATCAAATATCATACTTGCGGGATATTGCGAACGTGCGCGCTTGGGATAATCCAATCGCCGACCTGAAGGTGCGTCAGGACCCTATACAGTTCACTGATAGTTCCGCCATTATAATTAGAAGCCTTCAAATGAGGGGCCTCTTGGGCGTTTCTTGGGGCCTCCTGGGGCCTCCTGGGGGCCTCTTGGGGCGGAAGGCTAAAATTTCGGTCCGTGGTCCGCCTCTTGGGTGCTTCTTGGAGCCGTCTTGCGGCCCTCTTCGGGTTTCTGAAGCCCCCCGAGGGGGTCCTGAGCCCCGGAACCCCCATGGGAGGTTGTGGGCTGGGCCTGGCGTCCCCGAGCCCAACAACGGTCAAGGGGTTGGTGGCCGGGCCTCGCCGCCTACGCCTACCAGGGGTAAGACCCCCCCCCTAAAACCAGAATTTCGAAGCGAATCCAACCGCGGCGACGAGGTGGAGGGAGGGGAAGGGGGGGAGGCACCCCTTTTACCCGCCATGACTCACCTGCCCGCTCACACTTGCACCGAGCTGGCCTGAGCCCGCCGACCCCTTGTAGGGTCTTCTGGCGTATCAGAATTTTCCCCTCCATAAGCCCCCGCTGGGTTTGACCTATTGGGGGGATCTCTTTGGGGCCTCTTGGAGCCTCTTAGGGGCCTCCAGGAGCCTCCTGGGACCTTCTTGGGGCGGAAGGGCCGGATTTTCGGTTCGGGCCCCCCCTCTTGGGCTCCTCTTGGAGCCGTCTTGGGGCTCTCTGAGGTCGTATTGGGGACCTCTTGGGGCTCTCGGGACGTCTTTGGAGCCTCTTGGGCCGTTCTGGGACTCTCTTGGGGGCCTCTTGTGCCGTCGCCACCGCTGTGAAGACCGACAAGTCGTAGATGCTAATCATGTATTTTCTCCTATGCAAAATCAATGATGTTGGCCTCGTGGGGCCCTCTTGGAAAGCCTCTTGGGGGCCTCTTGGGGCGTCTTCATGGTCTCTTGGGCACTGTGAGAACCGTCTTGGGCGTCCAAGGGCTAGCTTTGAGCGCTCCGGGGCCGCCATGGAACGTTTTGGGAGCCTGATGGGGCCCTCTGGCCACGCCTTGGCCGCCCCTCGGGCTGTCTTGGGCCGTGTTGGTAGCCTCTTGGGGCCGTCTTTGGGGCTCTTGTACCGTCGTGCACGCCGTGAAGACCGAAAAGTCGCAGATACTAGAAATGTACGTTTTCCCATGCAAAATCAATAATTGTGGCCGCTTGGGGCTCCCTTGGAAAGCTTCTTGGGGCGTCGTAGCGGCCTCTTGGGCTCTATGGGAGCCATCTCGGGTGTCCAGGGGCGATCTTTGAAAGCCCTGGGGCCGTCTTGGAACGATTTGGGAGCCTCTTGGGCCTCCGTGGACACGTCTGGGCCGCCTCTTGAGCACGCCTTGGCCGCCTCTGGGGCTGCCTTGGGCTCCTCTTGGGCCGTGTTCGGAGCCTCTTGGGCCGTCTTGGGGCCGTCGTGGGGGCCTCTTGTACCCTCGTGCACGCCGTGAAGACCGAAAAGACGTAGATGCTAAAAATGCACGTTCTCCTATGCAAAATCAATGATTTTGGCCGCTTGGGGCTCTCTTGGAAAGCAACTTGGGGCGTTGTAGCGGCTTGTTGGGCTCAATGGGAGCCATCTTGAGCGTCCAGGGGCAATTTTTGAGCGCCCCAGGGACGTCTAGGACCGGTTTAGGGGCCACTTGCGCCTCCCTGGGCACGTCTTGGCCGCCTCTCGGCCCGGACAGGAGCGCTCCCGGAGCCCCCGAGCGGCCATGGGGGGCGCAGGTACCGGCCAGGCGGCCCCGATCCTCTTCCGCTGGCATGTATATATATATATATATATATATACACACACATATATATATATATATATACACAAGACTGCATTGGCGCTTCGCGCCATCCACCTTGGCGCATAAAGTTCGGCATGCAGGCGAGATGGCAAGAAGGTCAAGCCGGCAATTTAGCGATAACTCCTTGTTGCCTTTTCCGGCATCGTCGTTTTCATAATGTTATTCGTGTTCCTTCCTCAATGCTTCTGTTTCTTCATTTTCGCCATACCCTGCGCATTCTCACCATCTTCCTCAGTTCTTTTTTGCGGAGGCTCCTCCTTGGAGAGCCTCTGGGGGCCTCACAAAATTTCTCATGCTTTCTCAAGGCCTTTTGGAGGCCTCCTGGGCGTGTTCTGGGGTCCTCTGGGGGCTTCATCGGGCCACCCTGCCTCCAATCGCGGTCTCCCTGAATGACTGGATCACGATTTGGAATGCTTCAGAGCGTGTCTTCGGGCCATCTTGGGCCGCCATGGGGCACTCTTAGGGCCATCTTGGACCCCTGTTGTGCCGTTTTGGGGCTGTCTTGGACTG